TCCTTATTCATTGTTCAGATTTCACATACATATGATGTTATTGCAAATGCCATAGCTTGGGTCAGGCACACCTTAGTTCTCAAACTGACATCTTTGTTCTTGAATACGTTAAAGAGGTCTTGTGCAGCAGATTTGCCTAAAGCAATAGTCAACTTCATAGTATACGCATGGGGAATTAACCAAATCTCTACATTCAGATGGGATATATTCAAGGTTATATTTTGGCTCTCACAGACTTGTTTTAATTTTCTTCAGCTTTAGCTTGAACTCGCATAAGAGCAAATGATGGTCTGTTCCACAGTATGCCCCGCTCCTTGTTTTGGCTGATGATATGGAGCTTTTCCACTGTCTCTTCCCACAGATGTAGTAAATTTGATTTCTGTGTAGTCCATCTGGTGACATCCATGTGTATGTTGTTGTTGTTGTTGTTAAGTGCCATGAAGTCAGTTCCGACTCAAAGAGACCCTGTATAAGATTTCCGAGGGCGACTGGTGAGTTTGAACCACAGACCTGAGGTTCAAACTGACCTTTCAGTTCTGTGCATTATCCTACAGTGCCACAATAGGACTCAATGCATGCATGTGTTGTTTAAAAGAGGTATTTGCAATGAATAAGTCATTGGTTTTGCAAAATTCTATCATGCAATCTCCAGCATCATTTCTATCACCAATGCCTTATTTTCCAACTACTGATCCCTTCTTTTTGTTTCTAAATTTTGCATTCCAATCACCAGTAATTATCAATACATTTTGATTGCATGCTTGATCAATTTCAGACTGATGAAGTTGGCAGAGTTCTTCAATTTAATCACCACTGGCTTTTGTGGCTGGTATGTAAATTTGAACAGTAGTGGTATTAACTGATCCTCTTTGTAGGTGTATGGATATCATCCTATCACAGACAAAACTGTACTTCAAGATAGATCTTGAAATGTTCTTTCTGATGATGAATGTGATGCCATTCCTCTTTGGTTTAGTCGTTCCCCGTAAACCATATGATTGTCAGATTCAAAATGGCCAATACCAGGCCATTTCAGCTCACTAATGCCTAGGTTATTGATTTTTCTGTGTTCCATTTTATTTTTTACAACTCTCAATTTTCCTAGATTCACACTGATTATTAATGGATGTTTGCAACTGTCTCTTCTCATTTTGAGTTGTGACATCACACATGACCCAAAAGTTTGTATTTCATTCGTGTCATCATGGTCAACTCTACTTTGAGAGGGCAACTCTTCAGTCATATTTTGAATGTCTTCCAACCTAAGGGGCTCACCTATATCTAACAACACTCTCTGGTGCTAACCATAACGTCTTCATCTTCTGGTACTGTATCTGACAGTAGTCCTCTGCTATTCATAAGATTTTTAGTGACTAAGTGTTCAGAGTCCTGAACACTGCGGGTTAATGCTGGACTGCAATGTTGGTTTGAATCACAGTTCAAGCTCACCAGCCACTCCTTGGAAACCTCATACAGGATTGCTATAACTCAGAACCGACTCGCCAGCACTTAACAACAAAACATTCAGAAATAGTTCACCTCTCCTTATAGTGATTACAAATGGGGCTGCGAACCACAAGGTCAGTAGTTCAAAACAACCAACTGTTCCGTGGGATAAAGATGAGGCTTTCTGCTCCCATAAAGATTTACAGCCTCGGGAACCCTACACAGGGTGGCTACTGAATCGGAACCAACTTCACAGCACATAGCCACCACCACTTCCTAATTTGTCTTAGTGTGGAAGCTCAGATGAGCCCTGTCCGCCATGGGTGACTCTGCCGGTATTTAAAATACTGGAGGCATAGCTTCCAGAATCACAGCCAACATGCAAGTCACCAAAGTACACAAAGTAAGACATATATAGGTACATATACTTGTATATATACAACTCACATAGCCTATTTGAACACGTGAGTAAGCAGAGGAGGAGCACCACAGATTATCAACCTTTAGGGCCCTCACACGCCTGTCTCCTCATTCAGACCTTTGCTTCTTTCCTAACCAACACATTCAAAGATGCCCTGGTTACTGTTTCTGAAACTGTTGTTTTATTACCGTAGTGATTTTAGCACTATCTGAAATCTTTTGTTTGCACTTACCATGTTCTATAGACAAGAACCCTGTTTTCCACCGTATACACAGTGAAAGACAGCATCAGAAATGTAAAATTCAATATTTAGTAAATGAATGCAGTTGGAGGGCTGGCTTTCATTTTTTATTATGTGCATTTTAATTTTTTTTTTTTTTAGGTGAGCATGCATTAAGTTTGCAGAACAAAATGAAATGTGTTTTTCAAAAGGAAAAAAAAAGGTAACTGCAGAGGAGTCTTCCCTCAGCAAAACGTCTTGGGTTAGACCAGTCTCCCACTGAAAGCAATTCCCCTCTGGTACTGATGGACTCGGGGGCCCAAAGACGGGCCGAGCCTTACCCAAATCCACACAGCAATCTGCAAGCTAAGCCGGGATCCAAATCCCTTTCCTCTCTTTATCAGCCAAGGCAAACCGCCACTACCGCCGCCCCCACGTGTCCAGATTCAAGGGAAACAGAGAGGCACGTGGGTAGGCAATGGGGAGCAAAGATAGCGCCCAAAGGCGAGGAAGGAAGGGCGCAGGGGCAGCGGAGAGAGGGTGGAGCTGGAGCATGGAAAAGGTGAGACATGGGATGGTCGGGGAACCGAGAGTGTGGAGTCTCATGGAGGGAACGAAAGGAAGGAGAGAACCTAGAGTGACAGAAGGGACCTGGGTTAACTGGAGGAGGAGCGAAGGTTCGCTGAAGGCTGGTGACAGTGGGGCGCAGGGTGAAGGAAATGAGGGTGCAGCGGGGGACGCAAAGGGAGGGCAGAGAACAGGTAACAAAGGGGAAACTGAGTGGAGGAGACTAAAACAGTGGGAGTGCGAGGGGTTGCAGTGGAGGGGCGGTCGCGGTAGAGTCGGCGGGGGATGGGAGAGCGCCCCCAGCGGCCCCGAGAGCCGGAAGGACTCTGCAGAGGTCGTGCGCCTGCGCGTCTCTGCCGCAGCCGAAGCGGTTCGGCGGCTGCTTTCCATTTCGGGTTTTTTTGCAAGGTGAGTGGATTCTGGGCCTCGGGGGCCGGCGTGTAGCGTGGATGCGCGTTACAGTTGAGGAGAGAACCTAGGAGTCCAGCCCTAGGTCCAAACGGCTGCAGGATTTGGCGTTAACTGTAGGCTGCCTAACTGCCTTCACTGAGCCCTGGAGGCCGGGACATTCACGCCTGCAGCCTAGAGCCCCCAGCCCCGGCTTCCAAAAAGGGAAAACGCTGTGCATACGGAGTCCAGAGCCCTTCGTTCTGGTGTTTCCCGGACGTGATCTGCGGTTAGTCCAGCCCCTCACTGGGCTTCCATCTGCCCACCCGCAAAGTAAGTCTGCCTTCAGGTGCCTTTCTAGGTTTTAGATTGTCCTTAAAATTCATTTCCTTGAAAAATTTCCTCCAAGACGCTTCCCATAGATTTATCATCCACAGCCCCTCCATCAGCATCTCCTTGGCCACCCCAAAGGACCCAGACCTGTCAGCTGGACAGACCTGGGTTATGCTTTGGGGAAGAAGCTACATTCAGTCTGTGGACCACAGGCAGGGTGATTGTTTCCTAAGCATTAAGTCTCTAATGTTTTCCACTGTTTTCCTGCCAGGCAGGTGTATTGGTGAATGAACTGTTCTCAGCTCCGTTAAGATGAGGAAACTGGGAGGGTCTGAGACCGGGTTAGGACCACGTTGCTATGTCCTACATTATTTCCTGTGCTACACAGGTTCACCAAAATCGGATTTATTTTTTAAGTGTGCACTCTCTGGCTTAGTTTTTCCTGCAGAATAGTGGGGGTGGGGGTGGGGGGGGGCGTTGGTCATATGTTCTAAAGGACTCTTTGGCATTGTTAATAATAGCAATATCAGTCATAATAGTTGCTCCCTTCTCTTGATCTATAAGATCCCACTTGAGCTAGCCCCTGTCTACCAGAAACACTAGACTCCTTTCCCTGCCACTTGCCAGGAACACTTACCTACCTCCACTTCCCACACATTTGCTTTTCAGATCCCCACGGAAATTTCACTTGCTTTCTCTTGACAGATTGGCCCCCCAATTTATAGACTCATGGTACCTCCTGCCTTAATTATGTTTCAGTGTATAATTCTTTATCTAATATTGTTGTTAGTACCGTCGAGTCGGTTCTGACCCATAACAACCCTGTATAGGGTTTCCAAGGAGCAATTGGTAAGCTTGAACCACCAACCTTGTAGTTCAAACGGCTTTGCAATCTGGCACATTAACCCACAGTGCTACACCTGGACTATAGGTATCCAGTATTCTTCAGTACCTGTAAAGAAATCTGCCCTGCCACCTGTTGTTGTGATGTGCTCTGGAGTTCATTCTGACTCATAGTGATCCTGTACAGGGTTTCCAAGGCTGTAAATCTTTACAAGAGCAGAAAGCCTCATCTTTCTTCCACCGAACAGCTGGTAGTTAAGAACAGCATCTAGCAAATAATGTTGTTATATGCCACTCTAACTCATAGCAACCCTGTATAGGGTTGAACTGCCATCTTTGTGGATATCAGTCTAGTGCTTATCTTGTAAAGCCATACCAGAGTCCTAGCAAATACTAATTCTTAGAAATTTTTGTGGAATGAATGAATGATCTCATTTGATCCAACAGCATCTTGAGTTTGGTGTTTGGTTCTACTCATTTTACATATTAAGAGACAGGAATTGAGAGAGTGAATGATTTTCATAGGTTCACACAGTGAGTTAACAGAGCCAGAATTTGAACCCAGTCCTGAACTCCCACCTCATCTGCCGTCTCTTACTCTAGGATCCTGTGCTTTGAAGATGTTCCTCAAGTGCCCTGTATCAGCCAGCGAGTCTGACCTACGAGGCTTGTAAAGAGAAGATTTTGAAGTTTTACAGTGGGGATCTTGTCCAGCTCAGTTCTTCTTTTGCCCCTGAGACGTGAGGTGGAATTAAGCTGTGCTTGGCCTCTTTTTGCACACCCATGGCACCCCGACTGCAGATACGGCTAATGACGTGGGATGTGAAAGACACACTACTCAGACTCCGCCACCCCGTTGGGGAGGAGTATGCCACCAAGGCCCGGGCTTATGGGCTGGAGGTGGAGGCCACAGCTCTGGGGCAAGCCTTCAGGCAGGCGTACAAGGCTCAGAGCCACAGCTTCCCCAACTACGGCCTGAGTCGGGGCCTCACCTCCCGCCAGTGGTGGCTAGATGTGGTCCTGCATACCTTCCACCTAGCAGGTGTTCGGGATGCGCAGACTGTGGCCCCCATTGCTAACCAGCTGTATGAGGACTTTAGCAGTCCCTACACCTGGCAAGTGTTGGAGGGGGCCAAGGCCACCCTTATGGGGTGCCGCAAGCGAGGTCTGAAGCTGGCTGTGGTCTCTAACTTCGACCGGCGGCTAGAGGACATCCTGGTGGGTCTTGGCCTACGGGAACACTTCGACTTTGTGCTGACCTCTGAGGCTGCTGGGTGGCCCAAACCAGATCCCCGCATTTTCCATAAGGCTTTGCAGCTTGCTCACATGGAGCCAGTGGTGGCAGCCCATATCGGGGACAGTTACCGCTGTGATTACCAGGGTGCCCAGGCTATTGGCATGCACAGTTTCCTCGTGACTGGCCCAGAGCCTCTGGACCCCACAATCAAGAAATCTGTACCTAAAGAACACATCCTCCCTTCACTGTCCCATCTCCTGCCTGCCCTTGACCGCCTGGAGGGGTCTCCCCAGAGGCTTTGAGTCTGCTAAGGGAGACCCTTCAGAAACTCCTAAACAAACTTCAGAGCCAGGAAGCCCCTTCCTTCTCTACAAAGCTGGCCCATGCTCCTCTCCCTGTGGCCTTTAGAAATCTATTCAGGACATAAAGCCTTCCGCCCTGCCTCACACACCTGTTCCTGGTCGGTCTCTTCACACTTGGTCCCTTTTACACCTCCAGTGAGTTTCACTGAGGGTCCAAGAAGGTTCACAACCAAACACTTTCAAATTTTCTTAGTAGGGCCCTATAGTCATATCTTAACAATATACAAAAAATGAGAAGCTGCAAGAGTTGGAACAGGCTCCTGTAGCCTCCAAGATACCCTCTCCCCAGAAGTGTGGGATGAGAGGAGTTGAGTTTGAAAATCGGGTGTTAAACTGTGCTATAAGGGACATTATCCATCAGATAATGGGAGTCTCAACAGGAGATTTTAGACAAGGAAAGCCCTAATTTCAGTCATGAGACCACCATTAAATCTGTCATGAACCAGGTACTCTGCTAAATTCTTAATATGTCTTACCTTGTTTAGCCTTCAGAGAAGTCTAGTGGGGGCAGGTGTGATTCCCCTTCCACCCTACAAATTAGGGGGAACAGATTGAGATACAGGTATTAAGTGGTAATGGTCAGGATTCGCATGTAGACTGGTCTCCAAAGCCTAGACTGCAAGTAGAGGGAACTTGGTCACATGAGACAGTGATGATCTAGAGCTGGGAAGATATTCTAAAGGATGTCACTCATGAGTAGAGACATGGGGAAAAGGTACAGGGAAAGGGGACCACAGCTCAGGATGGTGGAATTGTAAGGAATAGGCAAGGGCAGAGGGAGAGCATTTGAAACTGGAGAAGTTGGTTGGGTTTTAGGATTCCATTTTTCTTCCTTGGCCCCTCTACAAACTGTTCTACGTGGTCTACTACTGGCTGTCCCTGCACCTTGCCCAGTGCTAGAAACTGGGGAGATCTCAGGGTAGACACAATAGGTACAGTATGTCTGTTCAGGTGCCAACAAGAACAGCAAGGCAGGAGGGCTTCTAGAGTGGGCCCTGAACTGGGGTGTGGAGAGATGGATGGTGTTTCTAGATGGCCAGAGGAATTAGTGGGGTCATTTCTGGCAATAGGCCTGAATTGTCCTAAAGGCTGCTTGTAGGAAGTTTGCTCAATAGGTTTGGGGGAGCAAAGTGTGTTCAAACTTCAGGTGTTCAGTTGCAGAGGTTGGCTTTGACCCAGGCTTTGGGGCATGGGTTGTGTCCAAAGACAGGGAAGTGGTCTCCAGACTAGACCAAATCCCTTCATGTTTGTATTCCTTGGGCCTGGTGTCAAGGTCAAGGTAACTCACCATTAATTCCCATGTGTCAAGACAGGAGTCACAGCAGTTATTGAATTACAAAGATCAGCTCAACCAAAAAAGTTGCCAATAGGAAGTCTGTGGACTTTGACCTTCCCAGTGTTTCAGGTAAATTATTAGGAAGCTTTCAGAAAGATTTCATTTTAAAATCTAGATTTTTTTCAGCTGCTCATAAAACATTTGTACTCCTGACCAGTCTGGGTTCACCTTCCCTCAAGGCCACAAACAGCCGAAGCTGAGTAGTGGCTGTCATGGATTGAATTGTGTCCCCCGAAAATATGTGTCAGCTTGGCTGGCCCATGGTTCTAGGTGGCTTGGCAGTTATGTAATGCTGTAATGTCTCAGTACTGTCATGATTCCCCATGATGTGATCAGCAAGTAAGAGGATTAAGGGTGGGCCCCTCCAAGGGTAACACCTTTTATCTCACAAGTGATAAACAGAAGGGAGCAGAAAAGAACCCACTCCCACCAGAGAAGAAGAGCAGAGCTGGGACTACAGCGTGTCCCTGTACTGTGAAGCGCCTGTTCTTGTGCCATCAAGTCAGTTTAGACTCATTGCAACCCTGTGTAGAGTTTCTGAGGAGCAGCTGATGAGTTTGAACCACCGACCTTGTGGTTCAAACCAACCTTTCGGTCTAGTTCTTATCCTATAGTTCCATACCAGGACTCAGGTCCAGGGAAGTACTAATACCAAGACACATGGAGATCTCCAAGGAATGCTGGGGCTACTGATACTCAGAGGAGACAAGAAGCTTTCTCCAGAGCCAGTGTTCTGAATTAAGACTTCTGTCCTAAACTGTGAGAGAATAAATTTCTATTTGTTAAAGCCATCTGCCTGTGATATTTCTGTAACAGAAAATGATAATGAAGACAGTGGCTATCCTTGAATTTTAAACTCTATTTTACTTGTTGCCAACTGATCCCAGAATACCTTAAGAGTTTGTGACCCCTGATTAAACAATGGTTTTCAAACTGTTTTGTGGCCCCACCTACTTACTTCATGCCCTGCAGCCTGAAGTTTTAGGGGGAAGATTGCCTTTGAAGAGTATCTCTGATGGAAGTCCAGAACAGGTACTGTCTGTTACGTCCACTGTTCAAAGAGGAGACTTGCTTTTGGTTCCAGCATTAAAGAACATAAATCTGTTTCCAGACTCTCTACTAAGGTGCCACCCACTTATTTCTGGATGAGTGAGAAGAAGACATTGACTTCCTAGGATACAAGCTGGGACTCAGTGTACAAGTTGGGGCCACATATAGTATACCCAATGAGCAGGAAACAACATGTAAAAACATAAATCTTAATCTTTTAAAAACCTTTAATCATGTCGTTCCACATGGTTGGTTCTGATTCCTTGAAGCCTTTGCACTCCAGATCTCTACCTGGATTGAGGGGAGATCATCAGGTAGGAGCCAGCAGCTGCAGTAGGTGGATGTCTGTCCTGTTACTACTGGCGGGGACAGGCTGGAGCTCAGCTGCCAGGTCTGAGACAGCTGCCAGTGCACGGGGTGCAGTCGGGTTACCTGGAAACGTGATCATCACCTCCCCTCACCCCAGTCTTTGGAGTGGCTAGGCAGGCCCTGGAGGAAGGGTTAGGACACAGCTTCATATCCCACTAGGATTCTCTGGCCTGGAAAAGTCTATCGGCAGCTCTAATTCCCTGCCAATTTGTTTTGTGTTCTAGAAAAATACTTTCTCTCTGCCATGTCATGAAAAAGATTGAGAAACACTGGAATGAGAGGCTGAAGGAGCTTCAGCCACATGCCTTTCTGCTAGATAACCCTAATGACATACTTAAAACTGAGGGGCTGAAAGACTACTTCTCCAAGAATCTGCCTCATCCACCCATCACCTACCCACCCACTCACCAAATGTGGCATGCTCACTGTGCACCAAGTACCATGCTGGCTGCCAGAGAGAAAGTGGCGAATGAGAGCCTCCGAAGGGCAGATGCATGCTGGACTGGGAGACTGAGACCCTGAGAATTGCAAGTCCCCCAGAGATACTCAGTATTTAAAGTCTGCACCCACATCTCAAATGGGCTCCATCTCTCCTAAAGCTGCCCAATAATGAAGGCACAGGCCCTATTTCCCTTAGAAATGCCACACACATTGGGAAAGGGATATTGGGTAGAAACATGGCCCGAAAGGGCTTGGAGGAGGTAGACCTGCCCTCCCTGGGTTAAAGGTCAGCAGATGATGGAAAGGGTCTGATCAGCCACAGCAAAGACAGGGAAGAGGGGCCCAGGGAAGGGTGCACGATGGGTGTGGAGCACCGTGCCAGAGGCTGGCTCATAGAATAGCAACTCTTGTGCCTGCAAGTCCAGCAGTACACCCAGCTTGGCTGGGCAGCGCAGCAGCCTCAGGGACTTGTGCTGCCCATTGTATGAGAAACAGAAATCCTGGTTATAGCGGGAGAAGACCCAGGAGAAGGTGTTGTAGCCCAGACGGGAGTCATTGCCAGAACCCTTGCGAGGCAGCTGGCCTGTGGCCACGCCCACCTTATAGGCACAACTGTTCTGGACATTCACCATCCAGGCATGCAGCCCAGACTGGAAGGAGGTGGTAGCCAGGGCATTGGGCCAGTGATCAAAGCGCTCCGGGCCATCAGCACAGATCTTGGACTTCTTGGCGTTGAAGGTCAGGGTCCTTCGGTCATCTGACAGTTGCAAAAAGGGACTGACAGTCCTTTCATCGATACGCACATCCTCCGTGCCTGCCAGAAAGAATTCTGAGTTACCCTGGGTTCATTCCCAGACCTAACCTGGTCTTGCCAGGGAGCAAAGGGCATCCTTACCATTCACTGGTTATGTGATGTTAAATGCACCATTTATTCTCTCAGAGCCTTAGTTTCTTCATTTGTAAAATTGGTATCAGAATAGGATTTATGACAGGGTAGTTGTATAGTTGTAAGGATTAAGGGAGATGATACATGTTATGTGCTAAACATATGATAAGTGCCCAATAAATTGGGGCCATGAGGACAGTAACTATTATTAGTCAAGGCCTTCATCCATAAACTCTGACAGACATAAGACCAGAGAGAAGTAAGTTGTCCAAAGTCACCTGCTCAATTTGTAACAGGGCCAAAATGAAAAGTCAAGCATTTTGTAACTATATTGAGCATCTAGCAATGAGCATACTGCATTCTAGCTGGTCTTACCTGCAGCCTCCAAAAGAAGTCAGACTTGTCCTAGAGACGGACACCTGGAAGCTAGTAAGCAGCATATACGCACTCAATTTCAAACAACTTATTAAATGGACTCCTGGTGAATCAGGCACAAATACCTGAGTCTAAATAGTTAGCTGTTGTCAAGTGCCATTGAGTCGGTTCCAACCATAGCAACCCAGTATAGGGTTTCCAAGAAGCAGCTGGTGGGTTTGAACCACCAACCTTAGGGTTAGCAGTCCAGTGGTTATCCTACAGCACCACACCAGGACTCCAAACAGCCTGTAGCTTATACTATAAATTTAAGGGCCTTATAGGCGGAGGTGACTAAACAAATTATACAAGTGTAGAAGCCTATATTCAACTTGGGACAAACCTGCTTTGGGAACCCCATGCTAAGTGAGACTTCCTGGAAGCAGAGTGTGGCCCCAGCAAGCAGTATGGGGCCAGGCTCATATAGGCCTGAGTCAATATTTGTCAAGTGAATAAATGAGGAAGTCCTGGCCACCTTAATTCCTAGTCCAGATGCTCTCCAGGGGGCCATCAATTTTATCTTCTTAAAGAGCCACTAGAGGTTTCCACAAAAGACTACTGAGCTTCCCCCATGTGTGTGAGGAGGACATGGTTTACAGGAACAAGGTTTATCTGAGACCCAACCACAGACCAGGTTGGTCTGGAAATGGGAAGGGCCTGGCCTGTCCAGAGCCCTGGTCCCACTGACCCACAGTACATCCAGTAGCACTTGTTGTTTAAGCCACCATCCCAGAAGCATGGGCTCCGATGTAGCAAACCCCAGACAGACACACAGACAGAAACCCAGTTGTTCCTGCTGGTGCTGGGCTCTTGCAGCTCCTAACCTGAGAAGGACCCGAGAACTGTCGTTGCCCAGAGCTGGGTCAGCAGTGGACTCCAAGTGCACTTCTCGTTAAAGTTTAACTTCTCTGACTCCTGAGGATCCAAAATGCCCTCTGCTTCCTCAGTCCTTATGCAGAGAAAACAAGCAAACAGAGACACGGACTCAGGTTCTAGAAATGTATCTGGATCAAAATAGAAGTAAAAGCACCACCACCCCCCTACTCCACCCAGAGTGCCACCTAGATTGCCAGCCAGACCCTATAGCAAGGGCTCCTAAAGGGGGCTTGGGCCTAAAAAGAGAGGTGGGCATTCTCCCTGTGCCCTAAAGAGTCATCATTCTAGCAAGGAAATTATAGTTGTTAAGTGCCATCGAGTTGGTTCTAACTCATAGCGACCCTGTACAGGGTTTGAATTGGCAGCAAGCACACTAAGGCTAATTTAGAAATGGTGGTGGGTGTGCTACGGAGTCCGTTCCGACTCACAGTGACCCTCTATAGGGTTTCCCAGCCTGTACATCTTTATGGGAGCAGAAAGCCTCATCTTTCTCCCATGGAACCACTGGTAGTTTCAAACTGCTGACTGTGAGGTTAGCAGCCCAACTTGTAACCACTACACTACCAGAGGTCCTTAATTTAGAAATAGGAGCATAGTATTTCTAAATAAAGGAAATAGGTTTCCCCTGTTATCTGAAAGAAGAGCATTCCTGTGAAACCTTTCCTAAGTCGAAATGGCATGCAATTACCATTAATTTATATGGAAAAATATTTTGACCCTTTCTAGACCCAAAGAAGAATCTACCAAGTCATACGAAACAACACTAACATATACGGTGCTCGCAGTTTAAAGCTATGTGGTTTAAGGCTGAGGTGCCGAGCATTGTTCCCGGAGCAGTAGCTGCTCATGGAACGAGCTGCCTCTTGTAAAGCCTGGCTACCAAACAAATGCTGAGGGCTAATTTCAATTTTTACCTTTGATCGTAAAAGCAAAGATTCTCTTCAGATTTCTTTCAGTTGGCAAAATGCATGTATTAATGTAGATCTTTCATAAAAGGGAAGCAGCATAAAGCAAAATTAAAAAGCAAGTGTACCTGTACATGGTGCAAGAAGTAAAGCTTAGAAATGGTCTGCTCCGTGGGGGAAGTGACTCCCCAGTGTGTCTCAGTGAATGGCAGAGCTGAGGCCTGTGTGGCAGTCCTTCCAGGCTCCTTGGAAAATAGCTTCCCTCTCTCCAAAAGTATTGCAGCAGTAATGTTTCCTTTGGTTTGGTCAGAAGGTAAAGCCCCTCTTCATCTCTTAAAATGTACATATCCTTTGAGGGGGTCACACAGGAAAGGACTGGCATTCATCATCCCACCCATAAATTAGCCATGGCACTTTGAACCTGAAAATTACTAGAATCACCATTGGGCCTGCTGTTTTCCATATAGAGTCTCAATCTTTGCAACAGTCTGGGAGGTAGTAGTGACTTCATTTGATTAAAAAAAAAGAGAAAACAGAAATTCAGAGGAAACACTCAGCTAGAAAGGAGAATTTTGATTCAAATCGTGCCTCCAGACAGCAACAGGACCAAGGCACCATTTAACACAATTTTGTCCTGAACCTGTGTACAGTCAAACTTTGATTCAGAGGACGGTTCTGAGATCAGGCAGCAGACGTGAGAGCGCACATCCTCCTCCCAAATCTCATAGCTGCCCACAAAGGAAGCGGGGCAGAGTGTGGGGCACATTCCCTATAGATACACACTCTTTTTCAGACTGTCACTATCCTGACTGAGGCCCGAGGTGAAGAAAGCTCTGACAGTGCTGAATGCAGGCTCAGGAAACAAAGGTTCTTTATGGTTTAGACAAGAGAGAGTCGTTTGTTGCCTGTCCTCATAGCACCGAGGCTTGCTCTGGAGGAGCCCTAGCTATCAGGTGGGGAGGAAAAAGGAGCTGGTGGTAGCAGTGACAATTTGTCGTCACAGGCAAATCTAAGACTAAACACAGGCACTAGTGTCTACAGAGAACCAGTTGATCCAGCAGCCAGTGGTATAGGAAACTCGGGACTTAGACACATCAGAGCCCTGGGTGGAAACAAAATGCCCAGTCTTTGCAGTGGGACCTGTCACTGTGGCAGGCTAGAGCCGAGTCCAGCTGTGGCTATGGAAAAACCACCATAGCCAAAACAGGCATTTCTCAGTTGAACAAGTAACGCTTCCCAACAAGAAGGTGCCTGACATCTGAACAAGACAATGTGAGAGTATATACCTTTGGTCCAAAGACATAAAGATGTGTGAAATAATCTTGAACTCAATTAGAGATTTTGGGGTACAACTGGCATCATTTGAGTATGGCCTATGTATATATAAGAAAAGAATCTCATGTTGATGTTCAGTCTCCTAAATTTAATAATTATACTGTGATTATGTAAGTGAATGCCTTTTTTCTTGGGCAATACAGGCTGAAGTGGTTAGGAATAAAACATCATGATGTCTGAAACTTATGCTTAAATTGTTCAGGAAAAAATAAAGATATATCAAAGGCAGAGAAAATCAAATGTGGCACAATATTAACAGCTGATAATTCTACATAAAGTTCACTGGAACTATACTTGCAACTTATTTTAAATATTTCAAAGTAAAAAGTTAAAACTCAAAACAATTTTTTTTTAAATCAGGCTGGCTTGATCTTGTTGTTGTTGTTGTTGTCAGGTGCCATTGAGTTGGAACCGACTCATAGTGACCCCATGCACAGCAGAACGAAACAATGTCCGATCCTGGGCCAACCTCACTACCACTGTCACACTTGAGTCCATCAATGATGCCACCTGGCTGATCCATCTCGTTAGGGGTCTTCCTCTTTTTCTCTGACCCTCCACCTTAACCAGCATGACATCCTTCTCCAGCGACTGTTTCCTCCGGACAATATGTCCAAAGTATGAGAAACGAAGCTTAGCCATCCTGGCCTCCAAGGAGCACTCTAGCTGCATTTCTTCCAAAACAGATCTATTGGTTCTTTTGGCAGTCCATGGCACTTTCAGTATTCTCCTCCAACACCACAACTCAAAGGCATCAATTCTTCTATGATCTTCCTTATTCACTGTCCAGCTTTCGCATCCATATGAGGTTATTTAAAATACCATGGATTGGGTCAGGCGCACCTTAGTCCTCAAGCTGACATCTCTGCTCTTCAATACTTTAAAAAGTTCCTGTGCAGCAGATTTGCCCAATGCAATACGTCGTCTGATCTCTTGACTGCTGCTTCTGCAAGTGTTGATAGTTGATCCAAGAAGAATGAAGTCCTTGACAACTTCAATCTTTTCTCCACTGATAAGAATGGCTTGATCTAGAGGCTAGAATACATTAGAAGATGAAGAATAAAGAAGACTGTTGTTGTAGTTGTTAGGTGCTGTTGGCTTGCTGGTGATCCTGTGTACAACAGAAGGAAACAGTGCCTGGTTCTGTGTCATTGTCACAATTGCTGCTATGCTTGAGTCCATTACTGCTGCCACTGTGACAATCCATCTCGTCGGGGGTCTCTCTCTTTTTCGTTGACCCTCCACTTTACCAAGCATGATGTCCTTCACCAGGGACTGGTCCCTCCTAATAATAAGTCCAAAGATTGAGAGACGAAGTCTGGTCATCTTGGCTTCTAAGGAGCATTCTGGCTGTAATTCTTCCAGCAAAGATTTATTTGTTCTTTTGGCAGTCCATGGCACCTTTAATATTTTTCTCCAACACCATAACTCAAATGCAGCAATTCTTCTGCTGTCTTCCTTATTCGTTATCCAACTTTTACATGCATATGAGGTGACTGAAAATACCATGGCTTGGGTCAGGTACACTTTAGTCCTCAAACTGACAAAAGTATAGGTGTGAAAAAATAGGAACAAGGCAAGCAAACATTTACAGAGGACAATAAAATATATATGGGGCATCCATATTGTTGAGTACTTTGTAGATTGGTCAAAAAGGGAGATAGATCAAGATGTACTGACATATCATGAGTTAAATTTTTTGTTGTTAAGTGCCCTCGAATCGGTTCTGACTCATAGCAACACTGTACAGGGTTTCTCAGGAGGACCTGGTGAGTTTGAACCACCAAACTTGTGGTTCAAACCAACCTTGCAGTGCAGTGACACCAGGGCTTCATGGATTTAATTGTATCTCCCCAAAATATGTGTCAATTTGACAAGGCTGTGATTCCCAGTTGTGTGTGATTGCCCCACATTTTGTGATTATCCTGTGTTGTAAGCCCTAATCTACGCTTGTAGTGAAAGCAGGGTTGTTGTTATTAGGTACCAACGCACAGCAACCCAAACTACAATAGAATGAAATACTGCCTGGCTTTGTGTCATCTCCATAACCATAGCTATGTTTGAGCCCACTATTACAGCCACTGTGTCAATCCATCTCATTGTTGGGTGGGTCTTTCTCTTTTTCACTGACCTACTTTACCAAGCATGATGTTCTTCTCCAGGGATAGGTCCTGACTAAAAACATGCCAAAGTGCATGAGACAAATGTTGCCATCATTGCTTCTAAGGAGCATCTGCCAGTACTTCTTCCAACACAAATGTGTTTGTTCTTCTGGTAGTCCATGGCATATTTAATATTGTTTGCCAAAAGCCTAATTCAAAGCACCAGTTCTTCTCTGGTCACCCTTCACTGTTTAACCTGCATGCTTAGGAGGCGATGAAAAAAAAAAAACAAAAACAAAAAACTATGGCTTGGGTCAGGCACATCTTAGTCTTCAAAGTGACATCTTTGCTTTTTAACACTTCCAGAAGATCTTTTGCAGTAAAATTTCCCAATGCAATATGCTGTTTGAAGTCCTGACTGCTGCTAAAATTCATGGCCATTGATTGTAGATCCAGTTAAGTCCACGACAGTTTCAGTCTTGCTCCATTTATCATGATGTTGCTTCCTGGTCCAGTTGTGAGGATTTTTGTTTTCTTCATGTTGAGGTATAATCCAGGCTGAAGGCTGTAGTCTTTGATCTGCATCACTCACTAGGTGCTTCAAGTCTTTTAGCTTTCAGCCAGCAAGGAAGGTTGTGTCCTCTGCATATTGTAGGTGATTAAGGAGTCTTCCTCCAATTTGGATGATGCATTCTTCTTCATATAATCCAGCTACTTGGATTGTTTAACATACAGACTGAATAAGTATGATGACAGGATATAAGCTTGGCACACACCTTTCCCGATTTTAAACCACACAGTATCCACCTGTTCTGTTCTAATGACTGCTTCTTGGTCTATCTACTGGTTCTGCATGAACACAATTAAGTGTTCTGGAATACCCATTCTTCCCAACGTTATCCATAATTTACTATGATCCACACAATCAATCGCCTTTGCATAGTCAGTAAAGCACAGGCAAATATCTTTCTGGTATTCTTTGCTTCCAACCAAGATCCACCTGATATCAGCAATGATAGCCCTCATTCTAATCTGGCTTGACTTTCTGGCAGTTCCCTGTCAGTGCACTGCTGCAATTATCTTCAGCAAAATTTACAGGATTAAGTTAGGTGAACGAGGGATCACTTATGTCTTTTATATTAATGAAGCAGGATTAGGTTGGGATGTAATGCTCCTACTGAAGTCATAGCCCTGATCCAATGTGAGGGGAGTTTCCCACCGGGATTGTGGCCTTCATCACCTTTTATCTTATAGGAGATAAAAGGAGAGATAAGGGAACAGTACCACTAACAACGAAGAGACAGGAGCAGAGTTGGCCCTTTGGACACAGGATTCCTGCACTGAGAACCTCCTAGGCCCAGGGAAAGAATGATTTAAGACCCAAAGATAGTGAAAGGAGACGAGGACCCTCCTCCAAAGCCAGACAGCAAAAGAAAGCCTTTCCCTACAGCCTGCTCCCTGAATGCAGACTTCTAGCCTCCTAAATTGTGAAAGAACCAATTTGTTTATTTAAGCCATCACTTATGATATTTCTATTAAAGCAACACTAGATAAATAAGAATCTCCTGGTATGGCACTGTAGAATCAGCACTGGACTGCAAACCACAAGGTTGACAGTTAAAACCTACCAGCTACTCCCCAGAAACCCTATACAGGGTCAATATGAGTTGGAACCGACTTGATGGCACTTAAAAATAGTGGCAAAGATAATTAAGATACATGAAAAGATGTCCAAGATACACTGATGTTTTAGAACAGGTATAAAATGATCCCCCATAACTCCTACAACTGTGGTGGTGGTGTACCATGGAGTCAATTCCAACTCTTAATAACCTGTATAGGGTTACCAAGGTTGTAAATCTTTATGGGAGCAGAAAGTCTCATGTTTTACCCACAGAGCTACTGGTAGATTCGAACTACTGACCTTGCAGTTAGCAGCCCACTCGTAATCTACTATGCTACCAAGGCTCCTTGCCTACAACTATACTTAAAGTCCACAAAACACACATCTATTAAAACTAATCACATCTAAGGAGTAGAATTAGGAAGGAAGGGGTGATGGAGGCCTGTTTTTAAATTTTAAACGGTTTTGTATTTGAATTCTTTTCTCATCCACACGTATTGCTATGAAAACTTAAACATAAAAAGTAAGTCAGAAGAATGGATCATGATCTTCAAGTATGGTTCTGTAGTCTCTCACAGGAAGTTGAGAAGGTTAATTATATCACCTGCCAAATTACATCTCCTTAGCACTTCCTCAATCCTTTGGCTCTCAGCCTTTCAGGACCCAGGCAAGAGCTAATGAAATTATTTTACTAATACATAATTAAGATGCAAATGTTGGGTGGTAATGTAGACTTGAATTGTTTCAACAGAGAAAAGGGGGAGTGAGGTACACAGGCAATACTGGGGCAGGCATCAGAAAGTTTAAGTTCAAGTCCTGGCTCTAGGGCATAGGCAAGTCCCTTCCCCTCTTTGAGTCACAGCATTCTCATCTATAAATGGGCATGGCAAAATGCTCTAATAGGGTGGCAAGCTTCTAATTAATATGTAGGAACATTCCTATCCAATGAGCCTGGCTCCAGGGAAGCCAATCATCTGTACATCCTCCCAGAAGCAGCGGGGGCTAAATGCAACAGACTGGGTAAAGGCTTACATCCCATGGTTTCCAAATATGCCCAAGTTAGTCATGGGGCCATACTCACCTCTCAAAAACCTCCTGCTCCTTCTGCTGTGAGGGGGAAAAAGAAAAGCAGAATCAGGCTTGGTACCATAAGTCCTGCAGGAAGTTAAAACTTGAACATAGTGTGCAAAACTCCACATAGACACAGACTCTAATATATATTTTTTAATCTGTCTCCTTTAAGATATAGCACAACGCCTTATGCATTGCCCACCATGTATCTCCCCAGCAACACATGAAAAAAACCAAACTCCCAATGCCATCTAGTTGATTCTGACAGAACAAAACTGCTACATAGGGTTTATCGGAACAGACTGCCACATCTCCTGCATAGTGGCTGGTGGGTTCAAACTGTCCCACCTTTTGGTTAGCATCTGAGTGATTAACCACTGTGCTAGTGGGGCTGCTTCCTAACAACACATACTCACAACAAGTCCTTCTATCCCCTACGCCATGGCATTCTGGGTTCCTCTTGGCTACACTTCAGGATAATCATCAATATACCCGACAGCAGTCCCCAGGAGAATGTCAGCTCCCAGATAGCTGGGATCCTTTCTGAATCTTCTAGTGACTGTCCTAGTGCTCAGGACAAAATGTGCTCTGTACATGGAAGCTGTGTGACTAAATGAATGCAAAAGCTAGGACGGTTATGGGAACTTCCCTAATTGAAACTGTGATGGGAAACTGTTCCACATTCTCATTCCTCTGCTTGACAATTTCATTCAGACGTCACACTGTCACCTCAAAACTACGTGCATCTGCATATTTATATAATTTCAAAGGATATGTGCCAAACTGTTCATCATGGTGACCTCTGAGTGGTCGGTAAGAATGTGCTCTATAATCTAATATTTATCCTCTTTAAGTTCCCCCCAAGTACAGCGTTTCCTCTGTACCTCCCCTACTTCCTTTGTCCCAGCTACTCTTTTTGTCTTTCAGGCATCAGCTTCTGATGTACTTCCTCAGCAAAGCCATTCCTGACCCCCACCTGGTCTGTGGGACCTCCTAGCTCCCAGTGATTTCCTTTAGCATTGCACCTATCCCTCCATCTCCGAATTGTCCGTTTATGTATGCATCTCCTTCTAATGTAAGCAGAAGACAGCTATATCCTGTAACTCCACCCCATAGCATGGTGCCAAGCACATACTAGGTACTCAATAAGTATTTGCTCACTGTTAAAAGCATATTGTTATCAGGTACAAAAATGATCCATGTAATTTCATTTTCCTATCTCTTCCCTGCTCCAAATTCTCATTCCAGTAAATATTCTCAATATTTTCAAACTTTGGGGCAGTCTGGCCTACTGGTGGCACCACTCTCCATGCCAGACTTACAATCAGCTGGAGGTCATCCAGATGGGTGAGCATGCCCACCAGGCTCATGCGGATGGTGTCAAGCTTCTGCAACACCTCGGCCCAATGCGCTCGCTGTGTCAGGATGCTCTGATGGGCTCGCTCCTCTTCCCCATGCACCTGTTCCAACAACCGCTGCTCCTCACTCTCACACAGATTCCGTACCAGACTCAGCCGCTGGATGACTAACTCTCGCGCTGCGCTGGCCATGCTCTGTCAAAGGATAAAGCAAAGAGTCAGTTCCTGGCAAAGGCCCCGTTAGGATTAGGAAGGTTTGGGCTCAGCTGGAAGAAGTGCTGAGACTGATTAGCAATATCTGCCATGGGTATGGTAAAAGAAGTAACTGTGCTTAAACCATTTTCTTTGCCATCCAGCCCTATTGTTGTTATTAGGTGCCATCGAGTTGATACCAACTCATAGCAACTTTATGCACAGCAGAACAAAACACTGTGTGATCCTGGGCCAATCTCACTATCGTTGCCACGCTTGAGCCCATTGATGCTGCCACTTTGCCAATCCATCTAGCTGGGGGTCTTCCTCTTTTTCTCCAGCCCTAGGATATCACAAATATGATTTAGAGCCAAGAAATGTAAGATCCAGACACCCAGGTCGTAGCTAATGAAGTCAGGATCACGGAATGGAAAAGCTAGGCTTTGTCTAGAGATCATTTAGAATTACTTGCTTATTTCACAACTAGGAATACCAAAGCAGAGAGATCAACATCATAGAATCATGTAACTGCTGGGCATAAGAACTTAAAAAAGGCATCGCTGTCATAGTATCTGTACCACATGAAGGTCTAGTTGACAATTCTGACCATGTCTGAGGACAAAAAGCTCACCACTTCCTAAATTTGTCCCATTACAGCTGGTTCTGTGGTAGAATTCTTATCTGCTATGAAAGAGACCTAAAATCAGTTCTCAGTGAAGTGAATGAGTCCCTTCTTCTAGCCCCTACCACGTTGCCTGGCACACAGTAAGTATTCAAGTATTGATTGAATGACTGAACGTTTTCCCTTAGTCTAACATTTCTTGATAGTGATTACATGGTAAGTCAGCATCGGAGCTAATAATAGAACCCGGTGCTTTGACTCTGTCCAATGCACTTCCCTACAGCAGATGCCAGCTGGTAACTAACATTTCCCATGGGTACCTGCTGCATGAAGCATCTGCATTTTTGCCAGACAAATGAGAGTAGAACTACCACCTTCATGCCAGAAAGCCTGGGATAGCCAGCAACTTTCCTTGTGCCCTGCCCCCGAGGAACCTGCTTTGTATAGTAAAAAGGACAACTATGTTTGCTTCCAGAAGAAACTGAGACATCACAATTTTCCTGGTAGAGAGGAGACAGTGACTAAGTGAGTGGTAAGTGAATTCAGGAATGCAGATTAATTAGAAAATACAAAATATAATAATAGCCACATATACCCATGTTGTTGTTGTTGTGTGCCATGGAGTCGGTTCCGACTCATAGCGACCCTGCACAGGGTTTCCGAGGCTGTTAATCTTTACGGGAGCAGAACGCCTCATCTTTCTCCCGCGGAACCACTGGTAGTTTTGACTTGCTGACCTTACGGTTCGCAGCCCGATTCGTAACCACTACGCTACCAGACCACATACCCATTATACCCATATATACCCACACATACAGTCACATATACCCATCACCAAAACACTGCCTAGTTAAAAAGCAGGGATTACCAGATTAGGTTATAAATAAATAAACAAAAGGAAAGGAAAAACAAAACCCTGATAGAAGAGAGACAAAACATTAAGAAAAGAGCCCTAGTGGTGCAACGGTTAAGTGGTTGGCAGCTAACCTAAAGGTCAAACCCCCCAGCTACCCTTGGGAACCCTATATAGGGTCACTATGAATAGGAACCGACTCAATGATACTTAACAGTTATGTCAGTACCTAAAAGAAAATTTAAATCTTTAAATGTTCACTTTGAGAAAGAAGACACTAAAATTAATAGGCTGTATTCAACGCAGCAAATTAAAAAAACATCAGAGTATATCCAAATAAATTAGCAAGAGAAATAATAAAGAAGTAGCAAAAAAGATGTAGAGACAAGGAGCCAAAAATCTAAAATTTAATACTTCAAAAATCAAACTAATAGTCAAAACTGTGACAGCTTTAATAAGAAAAGAGAAAAAGCAAAATTAACTATATTAAGAATGCAAAGTGGACATCCACATACAACAAAGATCAAAATAAAACTGAGAACTTCATTAGATTTAAAAACAGACAAAATTGGTAATTTTCCCAGGGAAAATGTACCAAAACTAACTCAAGACAAAAGAAAGAACTAGAATAATCCTATAACCACAGAAGAAAATGTATCAGTGATTAAAATCTACCTAACAAAAACATCAAGCCCAGATTGTTTTACAGGGCGTGTCACCAAACATCAGCAGCACAGGTAATTCCAATCATATATAAACTGTTCCAGTAAAAATAGAGTTCTGTTTCCCAACACCTTAAATAAGGCTTACTATGTGACCTTAATACCAAAATCTGATAAGGGCTGTACAAGAGATAAAATTCATAGACTAATCTCACTCCTAAGTATGGGTGCAAAAATCCTTAAAGAAAAACAAACCTAAACTAAGATTATGGTTGGTGTTATTATGTGCCACTGAGTCGTGATCCTGTATATGATAGAGTAGATTGTTCTTCAGGATGTTCTAGGCTACAATTTTTAAGAGGCAGGTGACCAGGTCTTTTTTCCCCAGGAACCACAGGGAGTTCAAACCATCAACCTTTCTGTTAGCTGCCCAGTCTTTAACAATTGTACCACCAAGTTTCCTGCAACTAAATTAGCAGTCCAAATTCAGGAATTTTGTAAATTTGAATCAGTAATACTACAGGGAAGGGAAGTAGAGGGAGGTGTTGTTACTGTTAAGTGCCATCGAGCCAATTCTGACTCATAGCGACCCTGTGTAGTTTCCGAGGAATGGCTGATGATCTTGAACTGCCAACCTTGCAGTTCAAACTGATTTTGCAGTCCAGCAAATTAACCCACAGTGCAACACCAGGACTCCAGAAGGAGGTAGTTGTGGCTATAGAATGGTAACACAAGAGATCTTTGTGATTAAATTGTTCTACAAATATAGCTTGATTTAGGTGGTTTTCACATCAACTTACCCATATGATAAAATTGTGCAAAATTAAATATATTGTTGTTAAGTGCCGTCAAGTTGGTTCTGACTCACAGCGACTGTGTATAGGGTTTTCAAGGAGCAGGTGGTGGGTTTGAACCACCAACCTTGAAGCTGGAAGTCCAGGGCTTATCCTATAGTACCATACCAGGGCTACCCTGTTATTTGTTGTTGTGTACTGTTGAGTCAGTTCCAACTCATAGAAACTCTGTATAGGGTTTCTGAGAGCGACTGGTGAGTTTCAACTGCCAACTTTGAGGTTACCAGACCAGTGCTTATCTTACAGGACCACACCAGAATTAAATATACACACATACAAATGAGTGTATATAAAACTGGTGAAATTTAACTAAGGTAATGTGGTGTAGTGAATTACTCTGTATGGCTCCTCTGGCCATAGTGTTTGTAAGTCCCACCAAACAACATTTTTGCCCTGTTGTGTCTGGGTAATAGGTGAGAGAAGAGGCTGATAGGATTATATGATTTAGTTATGAATACTTTACAGAGTTAATTGTAATTGTAAAAACTTCTAACTCTAATATGTATAAAATGAGCCATCTCAGAAGCAGGAAGGGAGGCTATCACTACCATCAAAGGAGAAGAACCAAGGGTGGAGCGTGTCCTTTGGACCCTGAGATCCCTGTGCATTGAACCTCCTTTATCCAGGGACAGAAAGCCGTGGCACTGGAAGAGTGACGGAGGAACAGCAACAGCAACACCAAGAGCCTGAGCATGAGACAGAGTGGTGGCCTCCCCAGCCCACAGAGCAAGTACTTTGGACAGAAAGCTTGTGCAGAGTGGGGTGCCTCGAGCCATTTAGGTTGGCTGACTGACAGAAGTAGAACCAAGTGCCTTCAGGCTGAGGCTTATGATGGAGTGGTATGTCCTATGGGCACTTATCAGCAGCCATAAAAGAGTTTTGCAACATCGACCTGGTAGAAAGAGGCCTGTCTGTGGGCACAGCAAAGGAGAAGCTGCTCTGACTGGAAGGACTGTGCCCTGAGCATGTCTGTCTCTGAATTGTAGCCTGTTAACTTGCTCTAATAAACCCTATTAACTGTAAGTATGGTGTCTGAGTTCTGTGTGGCCTCTGCAATGAATTACCAAAACCAGCTGAGTAGACTGAATCGTGGGAGGATGGTTTAATGTTGTATTTTGACAGGTAGATGAGGGTGGTGGTTGTGTGCTGTCAAGTCAGTTCTGACTCATAGTGACCCTGAATAGGATTTCTGAGGCTGTAAACTTTTACAGGAGCAAAAAGCCTCATTTTACTCCCTTGGAGCTACCGGTGGACTCGAACTGCTGATGTTGCAGTTAGCAACTCACCAGGTAATCCACTACACCATCAGGACTCCTTAGGTAGATTGTATCAATGTCAATTTCCTGGTTAAAATATCGTATAGTTATGCAAGATGCTAACTTTAGGGGACACTGGAAGAAGAGTAACTGAGGGTCTCATATTATTTATTTCAATTGCATGTGAATCTACAATTATCTTAAAAAATGCATCATGATCAAGTTGGATTGATTTTTCCCAGGAATTCAAGGATGGAGTTCAAGCATTTTAAAGTCCATTAATATATTATCACATTATCATTGATAGAGAACAGAACATCTTTATAAACTGAAAAATGTGAGAACCTACAGCAAAGGTGATAATTAATGGAAAATAGGAGCAATCAGAACAGAATTTTCTTAAGCTCCCTTCATCACTTACCTACTTACCTGCATCTATGCCCATGTAGTCTGCCTTCCTGCTTCTGTGGATAAACTGTCCATGCTCCTACCCAAGGCCAGTCCTTCCATTTGACTCTAGATCTTATGCTTGTTTGCTGTATCTCTCCAGCATCATTAATTTTCCTCTTTCTACTGGACCATTCCTTTGGTAGCGTAATGGCTACAAACTGGGCTGTGAGCCACAAGGTCAACAGTTCTAAACTACCAGCTGTTCCATGGGAGAAAGATGAGGCTTTCTGCTCCCATAAAGATTTACAGCCTCGGAAACCCTGTACAGGGTCACTATGAGTCGGAACCAACTCCACGGCACACAACAACAATTGGACCATTCCTACCAACTTTGTACACAAATATCTTTCCCATCTTAAAAAACAAAGCAAACAAATTTATCACTTTCTGACATGTTGTTAGGAGCATTCTAGTCAATTCTGACTCATGGTGACCCATGTACAACTGAAGGCGACACTGTCCAGTCCTACAGCATCCTCACAATCATGCTCTATTTAAGCTGATTGTTGCAACCACGTGCAATCCATCTCACTGTGGTTCTTGCTCTTTTTCACTGGCCTTCTATTTTACCAATCACCATGTCATTTTCCAGGGACTGGTCCTTCCTGATACCAGGTCCAAAGTATATAGAACCCATTCTGGGAACAGAGATGTTACTATGGCCTACTTTATAAAACTGTCACAGGAAATGCTGCTGTTAGGTGTTGTAGAGTCAGTTCTGACTCATAGAGACCCTATGGACAACTGAACAAAACACTGCACTAACCTCACAATCGTTGCTATGCGTGAGCCCATCATTGGAGCCCATCTATCTCATTGAGGATCTCCCGCTTTTTCATTGACCCTCTATTTTACTAAACAAGATGTTTTCTAGAAACTGGCCTCTTCTGATAACATGTATGAAATGCATGAGACAAGTCTCACCATTCATGCTTATAGGGAGCCTTCTGACTGTACTTCCTCCAAGATGGATTTGTTCATTCTTCTGACAGTCTCTGGTGTATTCAAGATTCTTCACCAACACCATAATTCAAATGCATCAATTCTTCTTTGATCTTCCTTATACACGGTCCTACTTTTGACTGCATACGAGGTGACTGAAAATCCCATGGGGCTTGGGCCAGGCACATCTTAACCCTCAAAATGACATCTTTGTTTTTAACACTTTAAAGAGATCATTCGCAGCAGATTTGTCCAGTGCAATACTTAATACTTAATATAAAAGTCTCTAGGTAATTTTATAAATCTGTGACTATGTACAAAATAATTAGGAGGCAGAAGAATGATAGATACCCTTTTCGATCCCCTACCCCAAAATACCCAAGAAGTCATTTTCTAGCAGTCTTCACACCAAGTGTGTAACTGGGAATAAGCTCCCTCTGCTCAGATGGTGAAAACACGGCTCAAGGAGATGGCAAACCATCAAGGGGAGGCCAACAGCAGAAGGGCAAGGAGAAGAATTACCACTGCTCTCTGGTTCTTGCCTGTCAGGACCTCAGCCACATACTTGGTGATGCCGGCACTCTGCGACTGCAGCCTTTCACACTGGTCCACAATCTTGTTCTGCAACACAAACCATACCCAGGTTGGCCATGTATATGATCCATCACTATTACAAGGATTTGTTTTCTTCTATCCCACCTCTCATACGCATTCGCAGACCAGGTACCCATCATTATGGATAACGATGTTGTTGTTAGGTGCTTTTGAGATGGTTCCAGCAGAAAGCCTCATCTTTCTCCCGTGGAGCAGCTGGTGGGCTTGAACTTCCAACCTTGCGGTTAGTAGTCCAATGCTTATCCTACAGCGCCACACCAGGACTCTTTTCACAGATCAAAAACCCCAGCATTCCCATCAACTCCACATCTAATCTAAGTTCTATTAGTCCCTTCTCCAAAGTATCTATCTCCTCTGGCCACTTCTATACCTTCAACTCCCGCTTTTCAATCCAGACCAGTATCATCTTTTCAAGGAACCCTTGGAAGAACCCCTAACTGGGCTTCCATTTTGGGCACACATACCTCTGACTCCTGTCAGCCAGAGTCATTTTTTTGCAATGAAATCAGATACAGGCATACCAGGGAGATATTGTGGGTTTGGTTCCAGACCACCACAATGAAATGAATAAATACCGCAAGAAAGCAAATCACATATAAAAATCATGTTTACACTATACTGTAGCCTATTAACTGTGCAAAAGCATTATGAAAAAGGTTGAAATATTAAGAAAATTCCAAAATGAGACACAAAGTAAGCACATGCTGCTAAGAAAAATGGCGCTGACAGGCTTGCTTTACTCAGGGTTACCACAAACCTTTAATTTGTAAAAATGGCAATATCTGCATATCACAATAAAGCGATGCACAATATCGCTTCCTGTAAAGCCACTCCTTTGCTCAGAACCTGCTTTCTAGTACATATAGAGTAAGATCAAGTTTCTTAACTTAGTCAACAAGGCACTACCTGATGTAACTTTGCTTACCTCTCCAGTGTCACCTCCTACCATTCGCCACACTAGCCTTTTTGTTCCTTAAAACACCAAACTTGTCCTGACCTCAGTGCCTTTGCACTTGTTCTTTCTGCTTCCACAACCGTCGTCCCATATTTATGCATGACTCACCCATCCCACCCTGACTTCACTCAGGTCTCTGCTCTTCGGAGCTATTCCCTGACCACTCCCTATCCCCTTACTTGCCTTTATTTTTACCACCGGTGTGGTGCTGTGGGTTAATGTGCTGGACTGCAAAGTCAGTTTGAACCACATGATTGGTGGTTCAAGCTTACCAGCTGCTCCTTGGAAACCCTATATAGGGTCGCTGTGGGTCAGAACAGACTTGACGGCACTTAACAACCTAGACTCCCTGCATAATGTGTTTTTATTTATTTTTTTTGTGTGTGTGCTACCTGTCCCCATCACCCCCACTGGAATATAAGCACTGTGCCTTAGGCCTGTTCCGTGCTGTATCCCAGTATTCCGAAGAGTTTATGTACATAGAAGGTCCAGAATAAATATTTGTTGAATGAACATCCTTGACCACAAAACATTCAGTTATTCATGACTCCCAAAGCTATGAGCAGCACCCATAGAAGCAGGAAAAGAATTTTAGAAATAGGGAAGCTATGGCCCACAGAGAAGAGATTTGCCTAAGGAGAAATGGTCAAACCCCTGCTATTCTTCCATTCTATTTCTCCAGGGTACAACTGGAACCCCTCTAAGCAGCCCTTCCACTATATCTCACCTAGACGTTTTCACTTAAGAGCTTTGCCCCAGCTCCATTTTGCTACAAAGGTAACTCAGCTACCTCTTCCAGGAAGTCCTAGAAAACCCTTTCCCCCAAGAGTAGGAAATTAGACTTACATTTCACAAGTACAATTAAAAAGTTATAAAATTGAATTGACTAAGAGTAAACTGTGATCACCAGACACCATGAGACAAAGGGAACTGAGAAAAGCTGTGTGGCAGGAATCTAGGTGAGTCAGAGAAGTGTAGAACTGTTGTTGTTTTTGTCCATTTCTATCACAATTTTGCCCTAGGTTGAATTGGTTTTTGTTAGTTGTAGGGATAAGAAAAGGAATTTGCAAAAGACTTATCTATTCAGCTTTGAGGGAGAGAAGGAAAGCAAGATACATCTCCCTCCAGGCCTAAATGAGAAGTCCATCAGGGTGAATAAGGTATAGGAGAGGTGCCCTCGGGCAGAATGCATTCCTAACAAGCACTAGGCCACCACCCTGTCCAACCCTCATCCCTTCATCCAACTCTGTTGGCAACTTTTTTTAAAAAAAAGATTTTCATGAAACTCTTACTCGCATTAGCATCACCTCCTCCCTCCAACTACTTTTTCTTGCTTCATCAATGACTCCCCAGGTCCAACCCTTAAGCCTTAGGAACCTTGGAAGAGTAACTGTCCTGTTCAAGGCCTGTTTCCTCATGGCTAAAATGTGGGTAGGGCCTCCATTTCAAAGGTTTGGTCTGGATGAAAATGAGATGACAAATATTTAAGTAATTTGGAATTTGCAAAGTTTCTATCCATTATACAAATAACTTTATGTATTTTTAATGTCAGCATTACTGTTGATAGTGATAGTGACAATTAGGAGGTTAGCTTTCTGGACTCATCACCCTTTAAGGTGTGTTTATTACAATCCAGTTTGAGTAGGTAAAGCCCCTTAGGCCTCAAAATAGGGCTAGATTCTAGGACGGTATTGGAAGAATCAAACTGTTTAATTAAATTGCCAGGAATTCCCCTAGGGACCATAGTTTAGGGTGGAAGGAGGAAGGAAACCAGGGTGAATTCGACTCTCCAACCTCAGCAGTTCATAAAACGGGTGGTGACTGGGAGATCACCAAGCCAAGTGCCAAAAACTGCAGTGGAGGTGGGGAGAAACCCTAGGTGAATGGCTGAGGGGTGAGGGGAGAATGTTAAGTACAGTCAAGGCCAGTCCTGAAAGGAAAATGAAATCACCTCACCAAGAAGCAAGAAGAGTGAAGGGAGGGGCTCTGAGCAAGAGGGACTAAGGCGTAGTGGGCCGTGTTTTATCAGACGTCTACGTCCACAGGTGCGCATACCTGGCCCGGGGAAACTAGCTCAGTGGAGCCCTCTATTGCCCAGGACCAGCTGAACTCCCCTCTCCCTCAACAGTGCCATTGGGGGAGAAGGAGGTGTCTGCCTAAATAACTGAACTTACTATGTGCTGGGCCTACAGATACTAAAAAGAGACAAGAACCTTTCTCTGGAGCCAACCAAGAGAGAAAGCTTTCCCCTAGAGTCGGAACCCTGAATCTGGGCTTCTAGTCTCCTAAACTGTGCAGAGAGCACAGTGGCTCTGAAGAATAACCAACGGACTGAGAACCACACGGTCAGTGGTTTGAACCCACGAGCCAGTCCGCAGGAAAAAGATAAGGTTTTCTGCTTCCGGAGGATTTACAGCCTCGGAAACCCTATACACAGTGGCTAGGAGTCAGAATCGACTGGACGGCACTTAACACTCTAACAGGCATATAACTAAACAGCACTCTACCCATAATCATATTGCATCTCACAACAACTAATAAATGAGTTATCATTGCCCCGAACTACAGATGAAGAAGAAACCGGCTCAGACACGAACCAAAAGGTGAGATTCAAACTCAAGCCAGACTCTTAACTGCCTTGTTCTACAGCCAATGTCACCGAGGTGCTTGGCCTTCAGGACCTGCCGTTTGGTCCATCGAACCCCAGGTTCTCCCGCTCGGGCTAGGCCCCGCCTGGCGTACCGCCCAGCCACCACCACCACCACCACCACCCCCGGGGGCTCCCTCCCTCTGGGGCTTCCCTCCCTGTAGTGGCTCTCGTCTTCCGGTGCCCAAGCCGACTCACTCGCAGCTGCTCCGCGCGCTCCTCTACCCGGCGGATGCGGTGCCCCCGGCAGCGGCCGCCCTGCTCCACGCAGGCGGCGCACACCAGCCGCCGTTCAGAGCAACAGAACCAACTCAAAGGCTGGCCGTGTTCAGGACAAAGCCGTTCAGCCTGGGGCCCTGGCTCGGACCCGAGCTCGAATCCCGGCCCCGCGCCCTTCGCGGACATGGCCGAGTGCCGGTCGCAGCGCGCTCCACCTGTCGCAGGTGGCTGATGGGCGTGGTCTCCCTGACCCCGCCCCTATCCCCGCCCAGCGTGCCCGCCCCGTCACTACCCTTGTTCCAGTGTAGCAATCATAGCTGTCCTTCCTCTGTGGGCACGAACCCGCAACATTAAACTTACATCCACCAAGTCCTCCAGCCTCAGCCCTTCGACCTTCGGTGGTCTTTTAAATTCTTCGCTTAATTAAATCTTAATTAAGCATAAAAACTAATGTTAATGACCATAGGAAACTTCAGGAGTCCCTGCCTGATGAAAAGGGCTTTTGAGCTTTGCTGCTGAATATGTCTTCGAATACATACAGAGTAGTCCCTATGAAAAAAGGTGCTCTGGTAGCATAGTGGTTATGAATCGAACTGTGAACCGCAAGGTCAGCAGTTCGAAACTACCAGCTGTTCCGTGGGAGAAAGATGAGGCTTTCTGCTCCCGTAAAGATTTACAGCACAGGAAACCCTGTGCAGGGTCACTATGGTCGGAAACAACAGTCCCTATGAGAGGCCTGGCGATTTACTTTTGAAAAGGCAGCCATTGACACATGAGTGCACTAGGAATCAGAGTCAAGAGCAATTGTTTTTGATAAGAAACTTTACTGAACACTTACTAAATGCCAGGAGCCCAGTGGTGCAGTGGTTAAAGCACTAGGCTGCTAGACCCCATCAGATACTCCGTTGGTGTATAGTTTGTATTGCAGCCTTAGAAAACGAAGTTTCCCAAGTGGCGACCTTGTGATACTTCACGGGGAAGTTCTACCCTGTCCTACAAGGTCACTATGAGTTTGAATTGATTCGATAGCTGTGGTTTTATTAAGGGATCTAATCTGTGTGGACATGCAGGTAGAGTACTGCCCTCCCAATCCCCATCTTCCAAGGTCTTGATAGAGGGCTGAGGAAAGAGCTCAGCTTAAGTGAGAAAGACCCCACCTTGTCTGTTAGAGGGGATTCTGAATCCATCAGACTTGAACACATAGACACATGGACGTATGTGAGAGCAAAAACTAAAAGAGAAACATTATTAGATCCCAAGGCATATTGACTTCTCTTAGTCCCTGAGAGGTACAGAAAGCCAAGAGCCTCAGAACTCCCAGAGCAGTACAGAGAGCTGTCATTATCCAATGTGTATGTCTATTGTCAATTCAAATATAAAAATACGACTTTGCAGGTGTTGTTGTTAAGTGCCGTCAAGTCAGTTCTGACTCATAGTGGCCCTGTATAAGGTTTTTGAGGAGCAGCTCGTAGGTTTGAGCCACTAACCTTGTGATTAGCAGTTCAGTGCTTATCCTACAACGCTACCGCCATTACAGTAGGAGCTAATAATAAATGTTTACATTGTATGTGTGAAGATCTGTAAATACTCTTGTAGGTTTTGAAAATGTACATTGTGTGAGGTTCATTGGCAAGGGAATGTAGTGTTCATAGAATAAAAAAGGTTTCCAGTGTGTTACCAGTGGGAGGTTAATGACCTTCTAATGGCATTTACCCTCTTCTCAGGGAAAGATTTGAAACTAGCCACCGTAGAGACCATACTGTGGTTTAAATTTTTGTGTGTTCTAAGGACTGGGGAGGTTGTTGTTGAGTGCCGTGGAGTCAGTTCTGACTCATAGCGACCCTGAATAGGGTTTCTGAAGAGCAGCTAGTGGATTTGACCTTGTGGTTAGCAGTCCAGAGCTGATCCTACAGCGCCACACCAGGAGTCTAAATGAATATGTTGTTAAGTGCCTTAGAGTCGATTCAGACCCATAGCGACCCTGTATACGATTTCCAAGGAGCAGCTGGTGAGCTTGAACTGCTGACCTTGCAGTTCAAACGGCTTTGCAGGCCGGCCCATTAACCCACAGCGCCACACCAATACTCCTAAGTGAATATAGATCTCCCCTTATAAAATACCGAAGTTTCAACAAAGCTCAAGACAGAAGAAGCACTTTAATGAGACAGCCCTGGTAACAGTAGAACCTGACCACCCGTATTCTTAATTGAGATAAGCAACCATAGATGCCAATGGTTACTCAAACAGCCAGGTAGTGGTCTGATTCTAAAATGCACTTGCTTTCCTCTAACCCCAAAAGAAAGCAAAACAACAACAAAAACAAAATGGGGGGCAGGTGGTGCGTGGAGTGAAAAGAGTATATTCACATAAGAGAAATAATAATAACAGACTTTTATTGCATATTTGCTCTGATGTTGTGTGCCCTCAAGTAGTCTTTAACTCATAGAGACCCTGTATAGGGTTTTTTAGATTTTAAATCTTTTTGTTAACAGAAGGCCTAATCTTTCTCCCATGGAGCAATGAGTGGATTTGAACTGCTTATCTTGTGGTCCAACGCATAATCCACTATGTTATCAGGATTCCTTATTAAGTATTAAGTATTTACATTGGGTTCATGCTCTGGACTGCAAGATCTGTTTGAACCGCAAGGTCAGCGGTTCAAGCTCACCAGCTGCTCCTTAGAAACTCTATACAGGGTTGCTATAAGTCAGAACAGAATCGATGGTACTTAACAACAACAACAAACACTATTTACAAACCTTACATGTATTACAAAATGCAAATACTGTTTTAACCACAGTTGCAAAGCCCATTTTAAAATAGGGCTGGGGAGGAGCCGGGCTTAAAGCGCTTGGTTGCTAACTGGAAATGTAGGTGGTTCTTTTCTCCAAGGTAGAAAAATGAGTCACTCTACTTCCTGAAGGCAGCCTTGGAAACTTTACAGGGCAGCTCTATTCTATCCAATAAGGTCACTATGAGTCAGGATGATGTCACAGCAGTGAGTTCAGTTTTTATTTCTTTGTTTTTTAGGGGTGGGAGCAGCAATTAAATCTTGTGAGGAAAACAAAAACAAGAGATGCTTTTGTGTGAAAGATAAAGAGAAAAAAGTTTGTATGAAGTTGAGAGAAGAGGTTCTGGTTTGTGGGGGAAGGTAGGACAGCTTCATTGAGTGTAGCTCTGGAGTAGTCAGAAAAAGACAAACCAAACCCACTGTCATTCATTCTGATGCATAGTGACCCTACAGGACAGGGTAGAACTGCTCCATAGGACTTTCAAGGCTGTAAATCTTTACAGAAGCAGATGGGTTCATTTTCCTTCTGCAGAGTAATTGGTAGGTTTGAACCATCAACCTTTCAGTTAGCAGCCTAGCACTTAACCCATGGTATCACCAGGACTCTTTTTGGAGTCAGAAAAACCAAACCAAATCAAACCAAACGCACTGGCATTGAGTCAATTCTGACTCATAGTGCCCCTAAAGAGAGAGGGTTTCTGAAACTAAACCTTTATAGAGAGCAGAAAACTTCATCTTTCTCTCTCAGAACCTCTGGTGGGTTTGAACCTGGAACCTTGTAGTTAGCAGTCCAGTGCTTATCCTACAATGCCACCAGGGCTCCTTTGTGGTCAGAAAAGCAAGTACAAAATCACTAGAAGGGACTAGCAAGGGAAAAAGGACAAGATGTAATTACATTTTATCATTGGAATCATTATTTCCACCACTCAGGGTCTGAGCTGGACTGGAAGGGGAGAACCAAACCGTCCTTAAAATGTGCATCAGGCCCTGCACACACTTCCCCATGAGGTCTGGTGGTTGTTTGCCATCAAGTCGGTTCAAACTCATAGAGACCCTGCAAAGGGTTTCCAAGGCTGTAAATCTTTATGGGAGCACAAAGCCTCATCTTTCTCCAATAGAGCAGCTGGTAGATTCAAACTCCTGGCCATATGGTTAGCAGCCCAATGCGTAACTCACTATGCTACCAGGACCTCTTCCCATGGGGCCCACAACTCTCATAAATCCCCAAATGGTGGTTCTCAAGCTTTCTGGGACCTCAAATTCTCTTCACTGAATCTGAAGTGGAGCCAGAAATCTGCATTTATAATAATTGCCCACGATTAGGATACAAATGAGCCCTCTAAGCACTTTTAGAAATGCCACACTCAGATAGTGTTTTCAAACCACAGGTCCTGGCCCAGTAGTATGTAATGAAATCAATTCAAGGATGTGAAGACCAACATCTAAAGAAAGTGAGAATAGAGAAGGGAGGAAGGGAAGAAAAGAAGGAAGGAGAAAGTATTACTCATAATTAAGATTATAGAAAAATGGAATTGAAAGGTAATACAATTGTTCCATTAACTTATGAAGTCCCCTTGTATGTGTGGGGGAAGAACGTATTACTAACTGAGAGTCATGGTCTAAACACTTAGAAAGTTGCTGCTATAAGGAGATCTTGGCCAGGTATCCTGAACTGGGGACAGAGAAGAATGGACACTTTTGTTACATTTCAGTCACTCAACATATTTGTTGAGCAGCTACTAGGAGCAAGTGGTCTGTCAGTTGGAACAAAAAGCTTTATTTTATACCTTGAAGTCAGAAAGCCTGTCACCAAAGAACTTTACACAACTTGTCTTCTTAAACCTGCTACAAGTATATGTACAGATTCTCACATATAATAAAACATTGATTAGCCTCTGACACTGTGGGATAAGCATTGGACTGCTAACTACAAGACTGGTGGGTTCAAACCCATCAGCCACTTCACAGGGAAAAAAGATGAGGCTAGCTGGTCCTATAAAGATTTAGGGTTGCTATGACCAAAGACCACAGCCTTCAGTATGGGCTGCACTTCAATGTAAAGAAAACAAAAATCTTCACCACTGCACCAATAAGTAACATTATGATAAATGGAGAAAAGATTGAAGTTGTCAAAGACTTCAGTTTGCTTGCATCCACCATTAACATTCATAGAAGCAGCAGTCAAGAAATCAAATGTCGTATTGCATTAAGCAAATCTGCTGCACAAAACTTTGTTAAAGTGTTCAAGAGCAAAGCTGTCAGTTTGAGGACTAAAGTGCACCTGTCCCAAGCCATGATATTTTCAATGGCTTCATATTCTTGTGAAAGTAGGACAGTGAATAAGAAAAACATAGAAGAATTGATGCAATTGAGTTATAGTGTTGGAGAAGAATAT